CTCGTAACTTGCTCCCTGGGTTTTTCATATACCCTCATCTCTGTCGGCAATGTTGAAGCAACGACTTTCGACGTTTTGGAAATCGGATGAACGTCTACTGCGAATGTCGAGGAGGCACCTTTTTGCTATAGTAATTATCTTTTTCTCAAATCGTTGCAAAAAAGAATTGACAACTTTACAGTTTCTGCTCTTTTCCTACACATCTGCATGGCCTGCATCCAGTGAGGTAGATGAACGTAATGATGTAGAAGTAGGTGAGTACAAAAGTTAGAAACAATATTTTTGATCGTCAAATTAGATCTACAGCAAAGAAATTTATAAATCAGCTACGCTCATTGCGAAAATCTATCCAAGCAATTTTCAAAGCTCCGAATACGTTCGTAAACCTTGTATTTCCGATTATGATCCAAATTTGAAAGTAGCTAACTGCTCGACAGCCGAAGTCCAATAATCCTTGATTTTGCTCATAACGAAAAACGCGAGGCAGCATCTTCATAAGAGGAGCCGATTTTATATATCGTTTCAAAATGGTGAAGCACGGCTTGCGAAGAGCTTATACCAGGGCTCGGCACGGCTGGCAGCGGGTCAAGCTGGATATCGTTTTTAAGGCGAAAGCAAAGGGGATATAGTTTTCCCGGGATCCGGGGCGGAAGAGAGCCGAAAGAATGCCGCCGGCATGCCACCGCCATGCTGTCCATCAAACAAAAAGGCGTTGTTCTCAGCCAAAACGCAATAGAATGACACCAAATTTGTTTGCATGCGCATGGGGGTCCCGCACTATGGCTTTAAAATTTATGAAAACTTATGTGAATGAAAGCTGTGCTGAACTTTTTTCTGAATTGACTCGCACCGTGTCAGCTGGGTGCCATCTAAGCTGGCACCGACACTTTGCTCACATAAGTTTTAATAATACTTTTTTTTACATAAAATGCATCTACACTGTAAAAATCTACATAAAGAGAAGGAGCAATTTCATAATGTTTTCATTTCAGCGTTTCATAGCCGTCTGAAAATTACTCGGTCTGCTCCGTAGTCGAAAAATCGGTTTTTTCTGCTTTTCCAGATGTGATTCAACCACTTAAAAAGCTCAGAAAGCTGTGAAAAGTTGTTCCATGAAATCAGCATGCAGGAAAACCCTACCACTTTTACACAATCTAGAAATAATGACCAATCTTCAAAACAGGTCAAAGCGGACTTCGTACTAAATTTTCAAAATCAAACGGGACTTCGTTTTGAAATTTCCCTGGTGCCAGCTCGTGCCGAGCCCTAAAAATACAATTCAGTTTTCCAAATTAACCTTTCATGCTTTGCTTTTTGTCTTTAAGTAAAACGCACTTTTCACCATTCTGAAATATCTTTCTCGATGGCGCAGTATGAGCACCTACGTTGATGACGTTGTCCTGAACAATTTTGCTCAACAATGAGGCTGACGTTGAATTTGGAATCGCCACTTTCTGCATATCCACAGAGAGCAGTCATTACTTGACTAACTTTGCTTACAAGGCAGAGAAAGAATTCTTGCATAACGAGTTGCAGTAATGTGTATAAAATGTAAATGTTGAAGAAAGCAGAACATTGAAATTGAAACAGCCGGAAATTGAGCCATCTTCTGCATTATCTACCACCCTTCTGCTCTGCAACACAATGATTTCGCCGCGCATCGTAATACGTTTTTTCAAACAAAGTTTTGATATTTGCACATGTGCTGTGTTGGTATACTGCATGCAATGATCCTTTGATATAGTTTGAGGAAATATTTGGGGGCCATTCAATAGTTAATTATAATAGCGCATTTGTTTGTTGCGATCGTGGCAAGATTACAGTACGTGTACGTGATTTTCAGCTAATTGTAAGATCGTAGTATTTTTGCTGTTTTGATGCTATTATTTTTTCTCATAAGTTTTTATAATTTTGACTTTCAACCTCAATAAGTCACAAACTTCTCATTTCGAGATGCAGGTACCTTTCGATAGAGCAAAGCATGCTCTATAAGATGGCATGTAAGTGTTCGCACCAGCTTCAGCACATCACGAGTTGGAAGCCAAAATCTGAGAACTTTTGGATGCCCAAAAATTGAAAATTTTTTATAACTTTATTCAGCGGGAACTTACGATAACCCAAACTCGCTCAGGCTATACGCTCCAAATAAGATATATGCCGTTGCTGTGTTTTTTCTGTGCTGGGAACAGAGAAAACCAAAATTCTCAAGCTTTCAAAAAAAGCTATGCTGCGGTGGTTTTACACACGTAAATGTATATTACAGACTTTTAGAAGTACAGTCACAGCCCTTTCTGTAAGCCCTAGTTCCCAAGAAATATTGATTTTAACATAAAGTACCTTAGCAAAAAAGCTAAATTCGGTATTTATCAAGAACTAGCGTTTGCAGGAAGCTGGAATTCCGATGTATTATTGAACTGTAGAACACGTTTACGTGTGTGAAAACAGCGCAACATCGCTTTTTGAAAGCTTGAAAATTTTGTTTTTCTCGGTTTCTAGCATTGAAACAAACACAGCAAAGGCATACAAAATGCCTAATTCGAAGTGAATATGCGTGAGCAACTTTGCGATCTGATAAGATTTCTTTGGACAAAGTTATAGAAAATTTATCTTTTGGGCATCAAGTTCTCAAATTTCGGCTTCTAACTTGTGATATACTGAAGTCGGTACAAATGCTTACACTCCATCTTACAGAGCTTGCTTTGCTTCTTGAAACGCTACCCTGCATCTTAATCAAAATTGAGAAGTGTGTAACCAATTTCTTAATATGAAAATTGAAAAAAAAAACCTTTGAGACCTTATTTATTATGAAAAAAAAAGAAAAGGTGTATAAGAACAGTTTTGCTCGGACTTGAAAAATTGTTTGGAGATTGTGTGCTGGACACAGAAATGTGTCATCAAAATTTATATAGGATGTGCAATGAATGTATAAGTTAACATAAGAATGTTAAAAATTTTGCCAGAAAGCCTGCGTCGCTTCGTTTTAGCGTTATATGACAACTATGGTAGATACACACATATCAGATACATATGTATCAGATATACAGTGACTGCCAAAAAGTTGCGGACAAACCCTCCTTCCTTTTTCATCGCTCTTTTTCACAGGGAAAACAAGGATGAAAAAATGTAATGATTGCAGGAAGTGATAGAGCTCTTCAAGATCTACAATCTACACTTTGAGTCTCTTGAGAAACATGTGATCTAAAAATTTTAAGAATCTTTTTTTAAAAAAAGTCCGAAAATGGCCGCGTCACAATATCGCGGACAATAATTCTTCGAACGCAAAAATTTTCTTTTGAGTCCTATTTTGAAGCGGAAACACAAGTTATCCGGACGGGTAAGCATACTACTATACAGAGCTCGTCAAGAACTACACACTGGTTATGGTTGCTTCCCCAAAAAATGCAAGAGTTTTATCTTAGTTTTTTCAAAAACAACTTCTAATTTCCTTCCTTTGAGCCAAATTTCTTCGCATGAGAACCTATTCAAGACATTCCAACAAAGCTATTCGGACAAAATGGATGCTCTTTGCCATTCTTTATGCATCGGACGTGTGCTGGTGAGATTCTTTGCTGAAAATGGCTCTTGACTGTGCGTGCACATGACCCCACCTGCACCTCACCACTGACTTATACAGTTTTGCAGGCTTATAACTCAGCCTGCAGTCAATATTTGAGAATGCAATTAGGCTCATTCGAAAGAACGAGACTTCCTCTACACGATGGTACGCAAAAGTGTTGGGTATGGGTAACAGCGAGATTTGGCGGATGGGGTGGTAGAGGGCAGCTTCAGTTGTAGTCTAAGCACTTTTCAGCTACAGTTGAAGAGAGCTTCTTTCGCTACCACATTCTGGAAGCTCAGAACTGTCAATTTCCTTGTAATAAATCCATTTCGAAGCTCTAAGACTGTTTTGGTGTTCATAAGAGCTTTCACTCCAGTCACCTCTAACGCTCCACTTTTTCACCCCATCCGCCAAATCTCCGCTGTTATTCATACCCAACACTTTTGCATACCATCGTGTAGAGGAAGTCTCGTTCTTTCGAATGAGCCTAATTGCATGCTCAAATATTGACTGCAGGCTGAGTTACAAGCCTGCAAAGCTGTACAAGTTAGTGGTGAGGTGAAGGTGGGGTCATGTGCACGCACTGTCAAGAGCCATTTTCAGCAAAGAATCTCACCAGCACACGTCCGATGCATAAAGAATGGCAAAGAGCATCCATTTTGTCCGAATAGCTTTGTTGGAATGTCTTGAATAGGTTCTCATGCGAAGAAATTTGGCTCAAAGAAAGAAAATTAGAAGTTGTTTTTGAAAAAACTAAAATAAAACTCAAGCTTGCAATTTTTGGGGAAGCAACCATAGCCAGTGTGTAGTTCTTGACGAGCTCTGTATAGTAGTATGCTTACCCGTCCAAATAACTTGTGTTTCCGCTTCAAAATAGGACTCAAAAGAAAATTTTTGCGTTCGAAGAATTATTGTCCGCGATATTGTGACGCGGCCATTTTCGGACTTTTTTTTAGAAAAAGATTCTTAAAATTTTTGGATCACATGTTTCTCAAGAAACTCAAAGTGTAGATTGTAGATTTTGAAGAGCTCTATCACCTCATGTAATTACTACATTTTTTCATTCTTGTTTTCACCCTGAAAAAGAGCGATGAAAAAGGGAGGGAGGCTTGTCCGCAACTTTTTGGCGGTCACTGTACATACATACATATCCACATTATAACTGAAGACGTACGTACCATTATCTTCAGAATAATGCGCGGTTGGCGGGTTACCAATCTCTGCTTCTGCTTGTGAATCACTCTGTTCTTACTTTACAACTCGTGAGATAAAAACAGCTTACACTTGCTATCAAAGTACTATCCCCCAGGAGAACGCCCTTCAAAATTTCAGATTATTTATGATTACAGTTTGGCTAGTGAATGTTATCATTACAAGCATTTATTTAGGATGGTGCGATGTTGATCCTGTTTTGTACAAAGCAACAGTAAAGGCATTTACAATGCTAGCAAAATTTCTCAACCTTGAAATCGAAATAACGAATGAGGTTGTTGCGGTAGCAGGAAACGAGTTGGTCTTGGTGAAGTTGGAAGCAGGAGGCATGAGAGGAGTTGCTATGAACACTTTTGTTCCAGGAGGACTGTGAACTTTATAGAAAGGCGGAAGAACTTGCAGTAGAACTTTGCGCTGACACCACGACTGACTGCGGAAAATACGATTGTGTTAATCAAACTCGGTAAGTTTAAGTCAGTCTACTGATGAACAAGTAATGATAATGCCTTGCAGGAGTTACACGGACGATATAAAAAAATTGGCTTTTTACTACGAGAAAACTGCTTACATGCTTTTCGGAAATCTCGATAAAGCCTACAAAACCATTTTAGTCGAATCACCGAAAGCTAGACAACTTGAGGTGGTAAGTCATGTTGTATAGCGGGAGCTCTAAATACTTGTAGAAAGGGAATCATGGTGATCGAGAAGGGAAAGAGTCAAACGACCGGCATTGAAACTTTGTTGAACACTATGGCAAGGATATGTGTGACAGAGTTGGTATAACAGGAAGCATATTTTTTTTATCCTGTTATTGTCTAAAAAAATCTCGGAGAATTTCTGAGCTTTCAAAGCGGAAAATAAAGGAACTGATAATCTTACATACGACAACTAAATTACGCCGCCCTTTATTAGGTAAATATGTTGGAAAAAAGACCCAAAAGTTTGCGGTTTAGGGAGCGAATGCAGTTCCAACAAGCTGTTCGAAAGTGTTGACAAGTTTCAAGCATTTACTTTGTAAATTCAAAATAGATTTCGTTGCAGTCAACGTCGAAGATAGACCTAATCAGTAAACGGACATGGAGGAGGGTGGTGAGGCACCCTTTCCTGAAAAATAGGTCGCGGAATTTTTTGAATTTTTTACATGAGTTATAAAAGTGTGCAACTGACCTGTTAACAGTCGGTCCACAGGGTATACCAAAAGTATGTATACACTGTTCGTCAATATCTCTGTTTCCAAAAGGTCTTCGCCTACTCAGGAAACATTTTATAGAAATGGCTTTAGCTTACAAATAGATCTCCAATACGGAGCGGTTCACAGATCGCTCTTCGTTGCTGTAAGATTACAGTAGCAACTTGAAAAAGGGTTTTAAGCCATCAAGGGCCCTATTTAGTCTTGAAAACAACTCAAACGATTTGAAAACTCTTATACTCGGCTAATACTGTGCCGCCAACACTAAATATGAAGTTTGCACTTAACTGCATTGCTTCCTTTATAACAGGTAAAAGCAATAATTGTTTCCAAATACTCTCAAAAATTGTGAATTACATTGTTTGAAAAGTTTTACAAACTTCCTGTTACGAAATTACCGCGTATAAAACCCTGGTACATCCTTTTCATATTTTTTAGAACCTTTTTTTTCAAAACACGATTGATCCACAGCGACTCTGTAAACTAAAAGTTGATACCGTAATCCTACAGTAATGCAAATCATACTATAAATCTAGACTTATAAGTTGAAGCCAGCTTTGCAATTTAAGATTGAACAGCGTATACTTTTGGAAACCCTGTATAATTACTATATATACTATATTATATATTATTATATTAATTACTATACTATATACTATATTATATATTTATACTATATAATCATGACTTATAATAAAAACTCTCTTCCTTAAAACGCTTAGAGTGTTTATCTATTGTTATTCTGGATGAGAGGATAGGTCTGAAAAACGACACAAACATTCGCACCCACCTAATATTAGAAAAAAAATCTTTTTATGAGAGATAGATGCAAAACCAATGCATGTTCGCAAAAAATTCTGGTCTACGGAAAATTTGTGGAAAAAAATTTCAAATACCCAAAAATCGTAGCCTGAAAAGGTCTTCCGTACCTCCAACTTGGTAAGCATATACTATACACATCAGACATCAATATGTACACACACTGCTTTTTTTCGCTGCTGAAAATTGAAAATGAAACAGGGCTCGGCACGAGGTGGCTTAAAAGCAAGCTGGGTATCGTTTTTGGGATGAAAAGCAAAGGGGGTTTCGTTTTTGTGACCGAAGACACACGCAAAATTGGCGATTTGGCGACGTTTTTTTTTAGTCGACGTTTCGTTTTTTTGGAGGATTTTTAGGGAAAATGGTGGGGGGTCAAAGGGGACTTCGTAAAAATACCCAAAAGTCAAGGGGGACTTCGTTTTTCGCATTTTCATCTAGCCACCTCGTGCCGAGCCCTGAAATAAAAATTAGCCGAAAATTCGATGTCGTCTTTATACTCTTCCTATGCTAGATTTGAATTGTTCAATGAATGCTGAGACTTTGATGTGATATTCAAAGGTTTTTAGAATGGACATCCATGTCGGGGCAACCCAGCATTGTTTTAAGAGTTTTAATGAAGTTTCAGCGATGACAGCAACTGTAAATATGCAAAACTGATGCGACAAGACTTTTGCGAGCAGACTGGGGGTCAATTTTTGGGCAGAGATCCGATTTTTGGACATTTTGAATATTTCTAGACTTCTTCCTAACTTACTGTATCAAACTTTTTGCACAATGTTTGAGCAACATCTTGCCAGATTTGCTTTGCTCTATCAAATGATACATTTCACATATTTCTACACATTCTCTGCCACTGCAGTATAAGGAGCATGCATTATTGCATCAGCCATTGGTTCAATATCAAACATCTAAAGTTCTATGTCCTTTTTGGTTAGACAACCACAGCAGCTAAACGCACTCAAGTTGTAGACTTGCTCCAAATTGTTTTGTGTACTTGGTTTTACCTACAACCATTGAATATACCCTGTAAGTTCCATTTCATTGAGTATGCGCTTGTTTTGCATCTTCCATTGCTGCGATCATTTCACTGAAAACCCCTTTTGAACCATTATCCAAGTGCACTTTTTAGCACAAGTTATTGGCTTGCGGACTATTTCTGCAAACAGCACTTATTCTTCTGCCTTTTACAGAAACCGTTTTTGTCGGCAGCAGCCGGATGTGCGCACGCGGACTGCTCGGGAGTCAACGTTACCATTGTTTGCCTTTTCGGACCAGTGTAAGTAGTCAATGTATCTTTCTTTATGAAGCTCTGATGGGGAACCTGAAAAACCTTATTGGCTTTTGAGAACCAGAGCAAAAACTGTACTGAAGAGTGTCTTAAAGGCACCGTCCACCCAAAGTGGAGGTTGGCGAGATTATGATGGCATACTAGTGTGGGACCCATACTAGACAAACCCCCAAATTTCGCCGCAAAAGACTGCCTCTGAAGCGAAAAATCCGCTCCGGAAGTAACAAAAGTGGGCGGGGCGCCTCCGGTCGCCCCGCCCACTTGCATGCTTTATTTCGCCTGCACTTGTTGCAGAGGGTTCTCGAAACAGGGATTTTTGGGGTTTCGCGAATTTTCGACTCCATATTCGGAATCAGGGCTTTCAAAAGGCCTGAAGGCGACAAAAACATTGAATTCGAGTTGGGTGCACCGCCGGGGGCGCCCTGCCCACTTTGTTACTTCTGGAGCGGATTTCTCGCTTCAGAAGCAGTCTTTTGCGGCGAAACTTGGGGGTTTGTCTAGCATGGGGGCCCACACTAGTATGCCATCATAATCTCGCCAACATCCATTTTGGGTGGACGGTGCCTTTAATAGCACACTAGGACCTAGAGCACTTTCATTACCAAACTATTAGATTTTTACACTCAAGTAAGCTAGTAGAGACAGGTGATTAAAGTTTTTTTAGACTGAAAATGCAAGATATGTATTATTTCCAGGACTGAGTACTTGGAGAGACTAGAAGAGAATACTAATTTTGTTCAGTGACTGTGGCAAAATTGCGATACTTTCGACTTTGTTGTTTACATATAAACATCATTACACAAGCACATACATTTATTTATATAAATGTCAGTCTCGTTTTATTTGTTCACTCTTTCAGCAGTTTTTTTCTCTCTCAAGATCGCTCTTCCGGTTAAATTCTGCAAGAACAATTTTATGCCACTCTTTCCCAAAAATATTTGTCTGCATCGACTCCAGTGGTGTTGCTTTGTCTGCAACCTGATGTGCGACCGAGCATCTCCTTTTCCTTAACTTCACACAGAGTTCGAACAGCGATCGGAAGAGATGAATACCGCCTTTGATATTCTTGAAATGAAGTGAATTGTAGCCAACCCTAGGCCTTGTTTACATAGGTTAGTTTAGGTTAGATTGAATTAGTTACATATTTTACATATTTTTTTATTTTAAGTTTTTCTAGCAGTCCAGTTTTTTCTTGAGTGTGTAAGACCATAGAGCGTAGTTTTGAGGCATACGCTGCACCATATCTCAGGTTGCCAGCCTCAGGTTGTTGATTCGTTCGATTGTGATCTGATCTTTATTTTTGCTCTTTCTTTGCAGCCTGCATTTCCCTTCTTATTGTTCTCATATTTTTGTCTTAATCAGCTTCTCGGATTTGTCATGTTTGATAAACCATTTTTGTTTTAAACGGTTGTGCTGGGTCAGTGAAACCTGCGGATCTGTCCGCCCGTTACTTGGGGCCGAACCGCTGACTCAGCTGTAACAACCGTGGAAGCGTCTCAGACGTTCAAGGAGAAGCTGAAATCCGGGGCATTTGAAAACCCCCAAATTAGTATTTCAAAGCGGCGGTTAAACCTCGCAAAACTCAATCCGGTTCAATCCGATAGGGAGTTGCGGCATTTGTTCCTCATACTGGTCAGAAAAGCGGCGGCTTAGACCCCGTATTTCATCGATTCCTTAGCGGTCGATTGAAAGTGAACATATCGCGCGCCTTACGCCGCGAAAAGGTTACTAAAAGAACGCGACGTAGACCGCAAGAACTGAAACAAGAGAGCGCGCGCCATAGGTTGCGGGAACAGAGTAAGACAGAGAGAAAGCGCGCCTCAGGCCACAAAGAGAAAATGCTACCGTAAAGGCGTAGCCAGTACCAACAGAGTCATACTGTAATTCTGAGTGTCCTGTTCGGCATCGTGTACCGTACGTTTTGCATCGAAGAATTTTCGGATTTTGCAGTCATTCAAAATCTTTGTTGCAGATCAAAGCTAAATAAAAGATGAGTTCCGAGCGTGACGAGCACAGCGAACAGCGTGACAGTACCAGAGACAAAGTTACGGAAACGAAGGTAAGAGCACAGCTTTTTATTACAGCAGGAAATCACAAGGGATTGACTAATTGCTTGAACCTAGTGAGAGAGGAGTGGGAGAAAGAGTTAAGCAGCCTATTCCGCTTAGGTGATAAGCGTAGAGACCATAATGAACATGGTAGACCAGCAGATACATAATCTTGAGCAAGAAATCAAAGTAGTAATGGAAAAATGGGCGTTAAAGCTGACGCTGAGCAGGTGCGCGTAGAGCCCGAAGTTTTTGAAATTCTCACTCAAGCAAAGCTGCTAACCGCAGAAAAATTAGAACATTGCCTTGACGAAAAG